TAATGACCCAGTTTTTTTTTTATCCAGTATTATTTGAACAATTGTGTTAAATAAACAATCTGATTAAGGAATAAAATCCTAGTTTTAGACTTTTTTAAATTCGTAATTAATTATTTTTTTCTCATGTATTTTATTTCATTTTATTTTATTTTAATTTAATTTAATTTAATTTAATTTATTTTATTTTATTTTATTTTATTTTATTTTATTTTATTTTATTTTATTTTATTTTATTTTATTTTATTTTATTTTATTTTATTATAATTTAATTTATTTTATATTGGCTTTAGTTTAGTTTAGTTTAAAAAGTTTGCGTAATTGACAAAGTAATAGTATTTGGAGACAGTTAAAATAATACAAAATAAGATGTACGTAATAATAAAAACAAAAACAAAATAATTAATAAATAAATAAGACATATGTTATAAACCCAAGATTGTCAAAACTCTGCCATCACTGTATTAGTAGGTGTTGTAACCACGGGGTTGATATGTACATTGTGAGAAGACTACTTTCTACCTTGAACAAGAAATGTTGACCAAATTTCCTTTTTTTACTTTTTCGAATCTACATATACTCATCTTTATCATTGTGTACAATTTTTGAAATCATATCTTACTCGGAACACACGAAAATCACCAAATAGTCCCCAAAATAAGAAAATGTTATTTTTGTTGTTTGATGACTTAATTTACACGTTGACATACAATTAATGACATCATTCAACATACCTCACGTCGGTCTAGAAAATTAGTGCAATTATTGCCGTTTGAGAACACACAATATGAAATGAATGTATTGAACACGTTGGTTATGTAAATTAGTATTTTCTGACCTCACTAAGTAAGAAAATATGAGCTAATATACTTAAGGTATCATGCCATTAATCAACCAATCACCGTTCGTCAATTTAAATGCCTTGCAAGAATCAATGAATTGTTTTGAATATTTTTTTTTCTCAGGTGCGCTCTGTTTGGGGGCGTGCACCACCTGGGTCAAAGGTGGGACAAAACATGTGGTCTTTTGTTTACTACTTAGAGGCTGTGTACCTGTGGGTTTATTCTGCGTGTATTTGGATGTTCTAATCTTGATGTTTTTTTCCAGTGATTTCTCTAGGTGAAATTCAAATACAGTAGGTGTGTCTTGATTACCTGAGTTT